TTACATTTTTTTTCCTCTGACCATGCTAGAATGAAGGATTACAAACTAAGAAAAATGATCTGTTTTCTTAAATACCGGGATTTGTGGAAAAGCTATGTAAGTTGAGAGTAGGGTAAGCACACATACTTATTACAGACAATCTGTTGTCTGCTTTATTGGAAAGAAGCTTTTACGAAGATTTACTTCTCTCAAATAATTAATTTATAATTTTCAGTGATTGGAGATGAAGTAGGTGAAACCAAAATATAGAAAATTTTGCTAATACTGCCCATTTTATTACTTTGTATACTTTTAAATATACTACTTTATTCCACTATGTATTTGAGATAAGACATCCATTTTGTGTTTTCTAGTGACTGTAATATTTCTGTTTAGGGTAGAAATTTTCTAAATATTTTGATATGTTAAAAAATAAGTATTTCCTGTTTTATTTAGAATTGACAAAAATATTTTAAAGTGTTATTTATAACTATACAGTATTTGAAACGATGCCTTATTTCCATGAGTTTTTTGTTGTTGTTGTTGCTCCATTATGCTTTCAGTATACAGTAGAATTCTGACATTCAAGAAGAATGTTATCTGAGACTGCATAAGTCCCACTATGATTAACTAATCCTCATTTTATATAGATATAAAACTTCTATTTTCTAGCTCAAAGAATCATTATTTTCTCAAGACTTCCTCACTTTCATGACAAGCACTAATGATTGGCCTTTTGAGAAAGACCATATTTTTATTTAAAAAAAAGTAAATTTTTACTGCACTGTTAAAGACTAGCGTAAAACAATAAAGTTCCATTGCCTTGATGAGTGGGTGACTGGATTCACCAGCTAAATGACTGTAAAACTTTATCATGGTTCTTTATTAATAAAGTTACAAATATCAGGGACCTGTCTGCTTCATCTTTTATTGTTCAGGAGGTGGAGCAGTCTGTTTTCTGTTGCCATAACAATACCTGAGACTGGGTAATTTATAAAGTTTATATATTACAGTTCTGGAGGCTGACAAGTCTGAGATCTAGAAGCTGCATCTGGTGAGGGCCTTCTTGCTGATAGGGGCTCTATAGAGTCATGAAGTGGCACAGGCCTCACATGGAGTGAGGCTGCAGGAGAGACAGCCACAATGGCTTCTATAACAGACTCACTCCTGTGATAACTAACTCACTCCCTCAGTGACCCTTTAATCCACTGATTCATGAATGGGTTAATCCATTCATGAGGGCAGAGCCATCATGACCCAATTACCTTCCAAAGGTCCCACACCTTACAGTATTGTTGCATTGGGGACCAAGTTTCCAACCCATGAACTTTTGGGGAAACATGCAGACCACAGCAAGCAGTAAAGAGAATGCTGTGTGTGGAACGCCCACTGTCTCACACTAGGTAAATCTCCTTAAAGCATGGTTTTCTTGTATTTTTATCTATCTTGAAATACTTTACTGACTTTTTGGTGTAGGATAATCAGTAGACTTAGCACTCTGTGGGTCTACCACAGGTTGCTATTTACGTACTTTTCCAAACTTTTTATTTGTGCACAAAATAATAATGTTTACTATGCACTGTGCTGAGTTCCCATATATGAAGCTGCATAAGAAAGACATGATTCCTGTCCTCATAGACTTGCCTCATTGCTCCAGCCTATTTGATCTGTATTATTTAAACATAGTATGTATAGTTTTGCCTTTTTACATTTGCTTATATGATATCTTTTCCCAGGATTTTTTTTTCTCAGCATATTAACATTTTACGTACTTTTCAAATTTCAGCTCAAGTGACACCTTCTATACGACTAAACCTCCCTGTCCAAGCTAGGTCATTTTGGTCTCTTTCCTCTAAGTGCTGTGGAACCTGAATCATGCTGTCCACTTAGGATATTAAAATTATTAATACAGACTGATTTTTAACTTGTCATGTGTGCATCTTTCCAGATATCCTATGAGGTTTTGGATAGCCACTGTGTCCTCTGGTCCCCCAGTGATTCATGTCCTTCCTACATGCAAAATACACTCTCTTCCTCCCAAAGTTCCCAAAAGTATCAGCCCATCATGCATCAGCTGAAAGACCAGAATCTCTACATCAAAATCAGCTCCAGGTGAAAATGAAGCTTCTCAGGTGTGAATCTGAAGACTGGTGAACTAAAGAGACAAGTTATCTACCCACCTCCCAAACACACACACACACACACACACACACACACACACACACACACACACATTACCTACACACCAAATATAGAGTGGAGGCATTGGATAATGACTATGGACTTAACTGTTGAAATAGGAGGCACAAAGGAGTCACTGATCCATAGTGATTTTCAAATTCAGGGGGGCAAATCTTGAAGGTTCTTTGATTAGATCTCAAGGCCTACGAATAATTCTTCATGGTTCTGAGTTTCGACCACTGAGCTCTTGGTTCCACCCTCTAAGTCATTCTTCCTTTTTTATGAAATGTAGCATATCTTTACAGCTGAGTAGTTTTCTCAGCCTGCTTCCTGTCAGTAGAATTCTGAGGGTCCAGTGGTCTCTTTTCACTTTGTACTGTCACTGTCCCCTTCAGTCTAAGTTGGTAATATTTATTGATGTAATTGTCTAAAACCTTTGTCAGCCTTCTGTGAATCTCACTGGTGTTCATTCCATTAGACAAAAGCCACACACAAAAATCTTTTCAAAATATGGGTTTCTGCAGCAATATTGAGGTCAACACCCTCAAGCTTTCTAGGTCTGTTTGACTGAGAGGATCTGTGAGGCCTTAATCTTTTTAAAATACTTTCTTGGTATAAATGATTAATACCATGAGGTACCACCATCTTTCTGGGGTCTTAACAAAAGGTTTTAGAGTCACCCCTTCAGATTCACCTTTAGGCCATGTTCTAGCAAGCAGGATCTAATTAAATAAAAGAGCTTCTGCCTCGACAACCTACTGAATGGGAGAAAATGTTTGCATACTCTGTATCTGACAAAGGTTTAATATCCTTTGTTCCTTTGAATCTTTAAGGAACTTAAATCAATAAGCAAAAAACTAATAACCCTATTAAAATAAGCAAAAGACTGGAACAGATACTTCTCAATAGAAGACATTCAAGAAACTAACAAACATGAAAAACTGCTCTAAATCACTTAATCATCAGAGAAATGCAAATCCAAACTACAAGACACCATCTCATACCAGTCAGAATGGCTATTATTAAAAATAAGTAAAAAAACAACAGATGCTGGAGACGCTGTGGAGAAAGGGGAACATTCATACACTGTTGGTGGAAATGTAAATTAATTCAGCCACTGTGGAAAGCAGTTTGAAGATTTCTCAAAGAATGCAAAACAGAACTACCATTCAACCCAGCAATCCCATTACTGGAGTTATATTCAAAAGAAAATAAATCATTCTTCCAAAAAGACATGTGCACTCAATATGTTCGTTGCAGCGCTATTCATAATAGCAAAGACATGGAATCAACCTATGTGCCCATTGGTGATGGATTGGATAAAGAAAATGTGGTACATATACATCATGGAGTACTATGTGGCCATAAAGAAGAACAAAATTATATCCTTTGCAGCAGCATGTATGCAGGTGGAGGCCGTTATCCTAAGCAAATTAACACAGGAATAGAAAATCAAATACCACATGTTCTCACCTATAACTGGGGGGTAAACATTGGATACTCATGGACATAAAGATGGCAACAATAGAAACTAGAGTCTACTAGATAGGTGATGGAGGGAGTGGACAAGGGTTGAAAAACTATTGGGTACTATGCTCAGTACCTAGGTGATGGGATCATTTGTACCCCAGACCTCAGCATCACACAATATACCCAGGTAAAAAACCTGCACATGTATCCCCTGAATCTAAAATATGAAAAAAAAATTTAATCTTATAAGCTTTAGTATACAAACCAAGTTTTTATTCATACATAAATTTACTCCTTATTCATATACCCACAGGAAATATGATGGTATATTAGACCTTTGGATGGAATTTTGCAATCAGGCACATCTGGCTATTGAGTAAATGAATCCAGTGCCTTTTTAACTTTTCCCCAGATATTGATACAAGTCAGTATTCATAAGGTATATGAAATGAGGTAAAATGAGTTTACTGAAGATTAATTCTGAGGCCAAAGTTGTTCCTTTACTTTTTAGTGTAGTTTTGGAATTATTTTAGAAGAAATAACATTATTACCCAAAATAGAGGCGCTTTTCCTTTTGTCTGTACTGGAAAGTGCTTCCATTTTGGGGAATAATAATAAAAAAAAAGAGATAACATTATTGCTCATATTTTCAGTGGAATAAATATGAGTTCCTGATTCTAGGAATACTTATACATACAAACATACATATGAAGAAGAATCCTACTACTTTTGGTATTAGAGGAAAGGAGCTGGGAAGCATGGTCGCAATATTCCATACTTATCACAGAAAACATTTTCACTAAAAGATAGAAACCTTTGAAGCTTCTTTGTTCTGTTTTGTTAGTTACACCTCCACGTATTCATTATTCCTATCTCAAACCACTTTAATTCTTGGCCCAGAAACTACTTTAATCTAATAGACGTGGCAAGTGGCCTGAGAAATAAAAGTAACTCTTTTTTCATACCATATTTTAGTGTTATTTGGTTGAAAACGTGGCTTTGTGCAATCCAATAAATACACTGATATTTAGGTTGAAAATGTATAGTAAGTATGTTTCAGTATTTTTTTTCACTTATGAGTTTTAGAAGTATTGTTTTTCCTGTGTGCCAGCAGGTATGGTGATTTATAGTTATGCTACAAAAGCTAAAGGTTTGCTGGTAGAGGAAGAAAGTTTGCAGAGATAACTAAAGCTAGTTCTTTCAGAACTACAGCTAAATTTTTGACTGGATTTGTAATATTGGGAAAAACTGCCAACAAAAATAACATTGTAGATATTCAACCATGTTTTAGCATTGCTATATTTCACAGTTCCTTTCTATATTATCATAATATAGAAAAGTACATAAAAGTATCTTTTTCTTTTTTACAGGTAATATAACATTACAAAGCCAGATGGGTAACATCACAGTAGGTATGTGCTAAGTTACTAGTTGGCGTATTTTGCCCACTTTTAAAAATAGGTATATTGTGATGACTTTATTAGAATAAATGAAGTCTACAGTTTAACTGATGAACTTGACAGGATCACAAATCAAGTATAGGCAGAACCAATCTTCATTACGATTATTTATTTTTCTTGCCTTATCAGGCTAGCTATGAACTTCAGTATAATGTTGAATTGTAGTAATGAGAGTATGATTCCTTGCTCTTGATGCCTATCCTTGTCCTTTTATCAGATTGAGAGAGTTATCTTTTATTTCTCGTTTGCTTAAAGTTTCTCTTTTTAAATTTTCTTTGATCATGAATGAATGTTGAATTTTGTCAAATACATTTTCTGAATTTATTGAAATGATCATTTTTTTCTTTTAGTTTATTAATGTGACCAACTATACTCATTGATCTTTCTTTTAAATTTTTATTTATTTATTTACTATTTTAAAAAAGAGAGACAACCTCTTGCTTTAATGCCCACACTGGTCTCAAATGCTTGGCTTCAAGCAGTTCTCCTGCCTCAACCTCCCAAAGTGCTGGAATTACAGGTATAAGCCACCACACATGGCCCTTTCTTTAAAATAGCTTTCATTTACTCAGTTCTCATGTGCTAAGCACTGAGCTAAACACATTACAGTGTAGATTTATTTTGGCTTCGTGTGTGTGTGTGTGTTTGCTTTTGCTGTCTTTACTGAGATATAACTGACAAAACCGTATATATTTAAGGTGTACATGCAATGTAATGATTTGATATATGATATACATATATGTTGTGAAATGATTTCCACAATCTGTTTAGTTAACATATCTATCACTTCACCTCATTACCATTTTATATGTGTGTATGATGAAAACATTTAAGATTTACTCTTTTAGCAAATTTCAAGTATACAGTACAGTATTCTTAATTACAGTCACTATGCTGTACATTAGATCTATAGGACTTTCTCCCAGATCTACAGAATTTCTTCATTATGTAAACTCCAAAAAAATGAAATTCTGTGGATGAAGTAAAATTAATTTTACTCTTGATAATTAATTTTAGTTCTGATAATTTGCATTAAACAAAAAAATAATAGGGCTTATTTTGCTGCATAGTTTTAAAATATCACCTTTGCATTCTTTTTTGAAAACATCTTGACTTTTTATTTTTTGACAGCCTTCAAGGGATGAGCCATCATTAGAGATCAATACAGGTAACATGAGGATAGAATTACTTTGTGGCTCAGGATATAATTGTTTAGCTGTCATTTATTTCTCATTGGGGGGAAATAAATGAAAATACTGTTTATGAGCCACATAAGAATCTTGTGTGGTTTTTCCCATTCTTGAGAAAACAAGAAATCAAACTAGTGTTTCAGCTATTTTACTTTGTTCAACCTGGAATAATATGCATATTGTGTATTCCACTTTTTCTTTTTTTAGCATAATGTAATTTTTTATGCGGCTTCTTTTAGGATGCAGTAAGAGGTTTAAAGAGGAGTTTCTGTTGAAATGTTCATCTTTATCCAGCTATTCTGTGTCATTTATCTCTAGTGGTTTCATTTCCCAGTGTCAGTGTTTACTTTTGACACTTGAAAACTAAATAAATTGGGTCTGATAAAGGGCATTTTCCAGTATAAATTGGACATAAATTATTATAAATGATCTTGGAGCCAGATTTTAAACAGTTTATTCCAAATCTATTGTCTTAGAAGTCATTTACATTTTTTTAAAAGAAAAATGTTGGCTCCTTTATACACACACACACACACACACACACACACACACACACACACACACCAATGTTTTCTCTCTCTGTTTTGCAAAAAGTATAATTTTTGGCACAATTTTCACCACACTCCCTACTTTGTTTTCACTTTGAAGTAATAAAACCTGATAAAATATGCTTTTTAAGAGGACTCTCTAAAAAGAATATGCTTTGGCCTTCTCCAGGCAGTCAGACAGAATGTTAAATTAAAGGTTCAACTGCCATGGGAGAAAGAGAAGAAAGAAAAACCACTTATCACTGACTCCTGAAGTTCATTTCCTTACTTCCTTATTTCTGACTGTTTTCCCTAGAACTTGAAATACTGGCCAATTGAAAACTGGGGTCATCGATGGCAGGGAAATTTGAATGTCAAATCAGGGTTACATTAATTATTATTTTCTTATCCTCACTTAAAGATACTTGTTCAATTCCAGAAACTTAAAAAGAACTAGAACTATTAGATATAAATGAGCTTCATCTACTCTTTAAATTATTCCACCCTGCCTTTCTACCCCTTAAAGAAATGCAACAAGCCAGGAACAGTGGCTTGTGCCTGTAATCCCAGGAGTATTGCTTGAGGCCAGGAGTCAGAGAACAGCCTGAGCAATATAGCAAGACCGTATCTCTAAAAAAAAAGAAATGCAACAACTTTATGTAGAGTAATCTTTTACTATTAGGAAGACTTCTTAGAGCTAGCAAATTTGCTACAAGGAGAAATTATGAGAGGTTTTGATTTCTGTTAACCTTGCTATGGCTTGTATGTGACTATACACGAAATAGAATTCTTTGGTAATTATTGAAAGCTTACTAAATGTATCAATAATAAACTAGATATATCAATGATGCCTAGTGGTCAAGCATCCATTACTTGCAGACTGTCCTTCCTACTCATTAAGTTTTAGAGTAAATGTTTAGTGATAAGTTATTCAGGTTAATGTAGAGATTTTTAAATTAGTTTCCTAGTTTAATAGATTTCTAAGGCCTGGCATGGTGGCTGGTGCCTGTAATCCCAGCACTTTGGGAGGCCAAGATGGGAGGATCACTTGCGGCCTGGAGTTCAAGACCAGCCTGGTCAACATAGTGAGACCCCATCTCCAAAAAGGTAAAAAAAAAAAAAAAGAAATAGATTTCTAGATTTTTGATACTGTTTACATTTCAGTACAGTGGCATTGTTATAAGGAAAATACTAAACCTTCCAAGATTCTTAGCCCCTTATCCTAATGCCAAAGCAGAGCCTTTTATTTCAAGTTTATAATTCCATTTATCAAGTAAGAATGATTTTACTTAGGGTTTTTTCTTCTTCCCAGATTCATCTTCTGGATGTCTAAAAGCCTCAACTCATCAGGGTGCCATAGATGTTTATGTCAGCCAACTGGGGAAAGTGGAATTGAAATCCCATAAAGGTTAGTCAACTGGAATGTTTTATTTTGACATATGATGTAAAGAAGGTTTATGTAACACTCAGGAAACAGATGGTCAAATTATCTATACTAACAGAGTGATTTCAAGAAAATATCTTCTGATAGAAACTGATTTCAAAGCACTGGTCTGCTAGCTCCCAAGACCAATGATCTTTACAACTTTTGGGATAGATGGCCATGCAGACTATCTTTCCCTTTGTAGTACAAACAAAAATGTAATATTTTGACTGTTATTATGGAATTTTTAATTGTTACTCTGGATTTTTCAGTTTAGTCTATTCTGAAATAGAATAATCTTTGAAGGAAAAATGCCGCCATACACCAAAGACAAGCTTTTCTGCCAGCCTGTAAAAGGAACTTCTCAGGCAATCAATGTAGGGTAACAGTTTTCAAAGTGTGATCCTGAAATAAAGGTATCACACAGGAAGGTCCTCTAAAGTGAGTATTTAGTCTCTTGATGTATCAAGACTTATGATGTATCTCTATCTATAATTTAACTTCTGACACAACTTATTCTGAGTCCAATTCTTCCACTTAAAATGGTATACTTTTCATTTATCTGAAAGCTAAATATGAATTTGTCTGTTCGTCTGTACACATGGATGTACACATACGTATTGCCAAGTGGCTTGGGTGAAGTAGATTGGCCATAGGAGCTGAAGTGGCTTGGATGCAGAAAGTTATTAACTATAGCTCTGTATAAAAAAAAATTAAAACTAGTCTAGAAGCTCTTGCATGTTGGCCAGATGTTTAACAAGGAAAATATTTCCTCACAAAGACTGATTGTTCCTGCTATTAGTAGTTTCTTTACCATGTTGATTTAATAGTTTTTTTAAAATCCATCTCCAGAATCTTTTGCCAGTGTCAAAACTGCAAAACACAGAGGTCTGAAACCTCAGTTACTGCTGACACACTGGTATGATTTCTCAATATCATATTTTCTCCCTTTAAAATAGGATAAACTTATGTCCTTGCTAAATCTAAGAGGTTCAGGTAATACTCTTCAGGGTAAATTATAAATGGCCTGTAAATACTCTGTTATTACAAAGATCCAAGGAGAAAAGGCATATATTGTTAATTTAACTAGTAACAGAGTAAGAACAAAGTTTTGAATAAGCAGCTCTTACATAAAAGTTATTTAATGTTTTGCATGGTAAGCAAAATAAAACAAACACAACTGTAAAACTTTTGAAGATTGTTAGTCTTTAGTCACTTAAAATTTTTTTAGTATTATTTGGAATATTGTTCCAGCACCCTATTGAAATAGTATTTGATGTTGCAAAATTTGATTAGTATTAGTTTTACGTTTTCTTCTACTGGAACCACGTTACTGGCAGAAGCTTAAAGATAACTGAAAACAAAGATTTCTGTCTTACTTTAGATCTCTGAATTCTTAATACACTTGGGAACAGTAACTTTTTAGAGTAATGGAAAGTTATTCAGTACTCTTTCTTAATGGTTAGCAAAGACATCTGGAATCCATTCCAACTCTGCCACTGTCTTGCTGTAGTATTCAGAGCCAGACACTTGAGTTTCTTATGTCTTCACCATTTTGTGATGTGGAAAAACATATAATGCTTGTTTTCTTTGACCTTATGAAAATTAATATGGTAACCTTATTAATTCATTCAGAAAGGCTATGCTTGGGCCTGGAGTCACACCTGAATCTGAGTACTGACTTTTCTTTTTTTTTTTTTTTTTTTTTTTTTTTTTTTTTTTTTTTAGTACTGACTTTTCTACTTAACATTTTGTCCTTTGGAAAATCACTAATTTTAACATAATATGCCTTCAATAAATGGTGCTGTTTGTTCACATTTGATTTTTTTTTTTTTTTTTTTTTGAGACAGAGTCTTGCTCTATTGCCAGGCTGGAGTGCAGTGGCACAATCTCTGCTCACTGCAATGTCTGCCTCCTGGGATCAAGCCATTCTCCTGCCTCAGCCTCCCAAGTCGCTGAGATTACAGGTGTGCACTACCACGCCTGGCTAATTTTTGTATTTTTAGTAGAGGCAGGGTTTACCATGTTGGCCAGGATGGTCTCAATCTCCTGACCTCCTGATTTGCCACCTCAGCCTCCCAAAGTGCTGGGATTACAGGTGTGAGCCACCACCCCCAGCCTCCACATTTGAATTTTTAAGAAGATAGTACTAATGTCAACCATGAAGAAGTTTATGAAGTGAAAAGAGGTTAAAGAACAGAAAAAGAGCTCTCCTTTCTAAAAAAGTTAATGTTAAAGATGGGACATTAGGAAGGTTTTCAAGTCATGAAAATTCTTCATTCACAAACAGTAATGGAGTTTTGGTAGTCGTGGTTTTTGGCTTTTAAAGATGTGGAGTGAGATGGGGTAGAACTCTTTGTGTTGCTTAACATTTTTAAAGATCTCAATCTAAGATCATGTTATATATTTAAGAATAGAAAAAGTGTTCGTAAAATTAGCACATTTGAAACTTGATACATTTAGAGATATTGAGTCCTAGAAAACAGTTTTTTAAATCCATGATTTTCTACTTTTGAAAGTATGTTTAGTAGAAAAATGTGTCTTCTATTTATCCTGAAATCTTCCAGGGTTGTTTCTGTTTTGTTTTTTTCCTAAAGCCCTCATATGTTGTTATGGGAATCTCCTGTCTGTTGTGAACCCTGGAAAGCTATTTGGATTTTTGTTCTTGTTTTTGAGACAGGGTCCCACTCTGTCACCCAGGCTGGAGGGCAGTGGCAAAATCATGGCTCACTGTAGCCTTGTCAGGATCACCTAAGCTTGGGAGGTTAGCCTTCCAGGTAGATGAGACTACAGTTTGCCCCACCACACCCAGCTTTTTTTGGGGGGTGGGGGATAACAACAGAGTTTCGCCATGTAGCCCAGGCTGGTCTCGAAATCCTGAGCTCAAGCAATCCACCTACCTTGGCCTTCCAAAGTGCTGGGATTATAGCCGTGAGCCACTGTGCCTGGCTGCAATTTATTTCTTAATAAACTAGTTGTAGTGGTGTGCAGTGTTCCTTAAGAAGTAAATACAAGAGTTCATCATGTTTATCTCAAACTTCCAGCTCAAAGGAAGACTAAGAAAATATGAAATTACTTAAGGATGCTTAAGCTAATGTTAGCCAGATTGGAAGGAAAACTATGACTTAAAAGCAAATGCATTCTCAAAGAATCTTTATAATATTCACAATGGGTATCATCCTGACCATCTTTGTCCACAGAGATTGGGTTAATGTTTTATGGCAGGGACCTTTTACCTACTTTATTTGATGAAAAACAGAAAAAAAACGCCTGAAATAAGAATGTGTAAGTGAATTTACACTGCAACTCACATAATTGTTTTGAAAAATGATTCTATACCTAACAGAGTACGTTTTCTGATTTATTCCTTTAGAAGCTTAAATTACAGCCAGGTTGTATGGAAATACAGGTTGAATGTACCACCTTAGGTATCCAAAAGCTTGTAATCCACTCAAAAGAAACAGTAGTGAGTTGGAATGCAAATAATCCTTTTCTATTGTTATTTTTTGTTACACACAAGGCATAACTGAAAGCACTAGAGCTCAGCGTCCTAGTTGTGTTATAATGATGAGGTCACAGGTCCTGTAGCAGATGAGGTAGTAGTGTGTGAAATACCATGCAAGCATTACTGAGCTGAGTCTAGGTTCCAGCACTAGCAGGAACTTGAGCAAGTTCTTATCTATAAAACTGGGAATCTGATAATAATACCTCTTAGGGATCGGCACGATGGCTCACACCTGTAATCCCAGCACTTTGGGAAGTTGAGGTGGGTGGATCACCTGTGGTTGGGAGTTCGAGACCAGCCTGACCAACATAGAGAAACCCCATCTCTACTAAAAATACAAAATTAGCCAGGCATGGTGGCACATGCCTGTAATCCCAGCTACTCGGAAGGCTGAGGCAGGAGAATTGCTTGAACCCAGGAGGTGGAGGTTGTGGTGAGCCGAGATCAAACCATTGCACTCCAGCCTAGGTGACAAGAGCAAAACTTTGTCTCAAGAAATAATTAATTAATTAATACCTTATAGAGTTAATATGGGGATTAAGACATAATGTTATTAGGAGTCTGGCTCATATTAAATGCTAAATGGTAAATCCTATCTATAAGCTACATAGTAAACTATTCACTTTCTGGTGTTGGATGAGCTGGGTAGGACTATTGGCAAAAGAAGAACTAGAAGTTAATAATGTCCTAATAACCCATATTCTTGACAGAAGTTAACAGTGAATGCCTTGAGAGTAAGGAGACTTGGGGCACCTGGGAATAAGGAAAAGGTTTAAATAAATACCATAAGCTGAGGAGTAAAAACAGTGTCCCAGGAGCAAGGCTACCCTTTCAGTCAAATTTATAATAGACCCTAGTACTTTTGATTTCTTTATGTTAACTAAGCTCTCCTTTTTATCTATTACAGGGTCTATTATTGTCAAGGTCCCATCTTCTCTTCAAGCTCATTTACAGTTATCAGGGAAAGAGGTTGACGTGAACTCAGAAGTCCATGTTCAGGAAATGGCTGAAGCACATAAAGATGATGTTGTAACAGTGACTGGTAAGCAGGCTGCTTTTGTTATGTCAGATGAATAGCCATTCTCCAGACATAAGCAGAAATGTGGTACACTTAATGGAAGTTTTAGTTTTTTTTATATTTTTCCATTATTACGTTCTAATGTTTCACATCTTTTTTCTTCTAGTTGTTTCTCATTAACATGATGTATACATTTTGTTTGAAAAGACCTCATTACATCATTTATGAACACTCATTAGTCCTGTATTTGGGTAAAATTGATTTTTAAATTTTCTAGGAGAGCTGCTTTCTCAGTCTTGACCTTAAAAATAAACTGAATACATATTATAATGCAGAATTTAAGACTAACTTCGTATGATGGGGTAAATAGGAATTTTGTTTGGTATGCACATTTTTAACTTGCTCTTTTAGAACAACAAATTCTGAGTCCCACAAATGTGAATAGCTTTTGTACATTTTTCATTGTATCTGGCTACACTGGTGGCTGATACAGTGTTTTTAAGGTTTATTATTGGTTTGTATTTTTTGCTTTTGTTTTTGTTTTGAGATGGAGTCTCGGTTTATCACCCATGCTGGAGTGTAGTTGCATGACCTCAGCTCCCTGCAACCTCTGACTCCTGGTTTCAAGCGAATCTCCTGCCTCAGCCTCCCAAGTAGCTGGGACTACAAGTGTGCAGCACCACATCTGGCTAATTTTTTTGTATTTTTAATAGAGACGGGGTTTCACCATGTTGGCCAGGCTGCTCTCGAATTCCTGACCTCAGGTTTATGTGCCTGCCTTGGCCTCCAAAAGTGCTGGGATTATAGGTGTCAGCCACTGTGCCCAGCCAAGGTTTGTTGTCTTAATGAATAAAAAAATTAAATGCTGGTAAAGTTTGTCTTTAAATTTTATCAGAATGGCATCAAGGAGGACATTGCAATTAAACTGGTATAGGAATGAATGCCACAAGCTAAACCTACGAGATGCCGACTAGAAAAAGGAAGAATGGGGGAGTAGGGGAGGGTGGTCTTCATAAGATCAAATTTCAGTTTTAGATATTCATTTTATATGTCATGAAAATTAAGAAAGATACCTGTTAAAATTCATACAATATTAACAAAAACAACAGGAATAAAAATAATACCTATAAACTCCCAGATCCAACTGCATGCTACGCAATGGGTAGACTCATAGTTACGTGGTGAAAATTTGATCAAAATCTAAGTACAGTCGTATGTCACTTAATGACCAAGATACACTCTGAGAAATGTGTTATTAGGCAATTTTGTTGTCATATGAACATTATAGAGTGAACTCACACAAACCTAGACGATACAGCCTGCTGCACACTGAGGCTGTAGGTAGCATATTGCTCGTAGGCTACACCTTGTACAGCAGGCTACTGTACTGAAAACTGTAGGCAATTGTAACACAATGGCATTTGTATATCTAAACTTCGAAAAGGTACAGTAAAAACATCATATGAAAGATAAAACATGGTACACCTGTATAGGGCACTTACCGTGAATAGAGCCTGCAGGACTGGAAGCTTCTGCAGATGAGTCAGTATGATGAGTGGTGAGCATCTGTGAAGAACTAGGATATTACTGTATAATACTTACTACTATAGACTTTATCAATACTGTACAGTTAGGCTATACCAAATTTATTTTTAAGTTTCTTTAATAATAAATTAACCTTAGCTTACTGTTAACTTTTTTACTTTATTCTACAGACAGCTTCTTTCTCTGTTGCCTAGGTTGGAGTGCAATTATAGCTCACTGTAAACTTGAACTCTGGGCTCAAGTGATCCTTCTGCCTCAGCCTCTGTAGTAACTGGGATTACAGGTGTGTACTACCACACCCAGCTAATTTTTTTAAAAAATTTAATTAGAGACGAGGCCTTGCTATGTTTCCCAGGCTTGTCTTCAACTCCTGGCCTCAAGTGATCCTCCTGCCTCAACTTCCCAAAAAATATTTTTACTTTATAAACCTCAATATTTATTTATTTATTTATTTGAGTTATAGTCTTGCTCTGTTGCCCAGGCTGGAGTGCAGTGGCGTGATTTCAGCTCACTGCAACCTCTGCCTTCTGGGTTCAAGCAATGCTCCTGCCTCAGCCTCCAGAGTAGCTAGGACCACAAGTGTGCACCACCATACCTAGGTAATTTTTGTATTGTTAGTAGAGGCGGGGTTTCACCATGCTGGCCAGGCTGGTCTTGAACTCCTGACCTCAGGTTATCCACCCACCTTGGCCTCCCAAAGTGCTGGGATTACAGGCATAAGCTACCATGTCCAGCCTAAACTTCAATTTTTAAAAACTTTCTGAGGCTGGGCGCAGGAGCTCACGACTGTAATCCCAGCATTTTGGTAGGCTGAGGCAGACAGATCATTTGAGGCGAGGAATTCGAGACCCGCCTGACCAACATGGTAAAACCCCATCTCTTCTAGGAATACAAAAATTATCTGGGTGTGGTGGCAGGCACCTGTAATCTCAGCTACTTGGGAGGCTGAGGCAGGAGAATCCCTTGAATCCAAGAGGTGGAGGTTGCAGTGAGCCAAGATCATGCCACTGCACTCCAGCCTGGGCAACGGAGTGAGACTCCCTCTCAAAAATAAAATAAAATAAAAAGTTTTGATTCTTTTGTAATAATACTTAGCTTGAAACACAAACACAGTTTATAGCTGTACAAATGTATTTTGTCTATCCTTATTCTGTAAGCTTCTTCTGTTTTCAAAATTGTTAATTTTCTTTTTCTTTTTTTTTAACTTTTTTAACTTTCTTAAAAACTAAGACACAAACATACGCATTAGCTTAGGCCTTTACAGGGTCAGGAACATAATATCACTTTCACCTCCACATCTTGTCCCACTGAAAGGCCTTCAGGGGCAATTACACACATGGAGCTGTCATCTTCTGCCATGATAATGCCTTCTTCTGGAATACTTCTTAAAGGACCTGCCTGAAGCTATTGTATCTTAACTTGTTTTTTGAGATGGAGTTTCGTTCTTGTTGCCCAGGCTGGAGTGCAATGGCTTGATTTAGGCTCACTGCAACCTCTGCCTCCCAGGTTCAAGTGATTCTCCTGCCTCAGCCTCTCGAGTAGCTGGGATTACAGGTATGGATACCATGCCCAGCTAAGTTTGTATTTTTAGTAGAGACAGGGTTTCTCCATATTGGTCAGGGTGGTCTCAAACTCCTGACCTCAGGTGATCTGTCCACCTCAGCCTCCCAAAGTGCTGGGATTACAGGTGTGAGCCACCGTGCCTGGCCCAACTTTTGTAATAACCAGAAGGTGTATGCTCTAAAATAACAACAAAAAGTATAGTAAATACATAAACCAGTAACACGGTCATTTGTTCTCATTAACAAGTATTATGCAATATACATAATACATGTGCTATATTTTTATGTGACAGTGCAGTGGGTTTGTTTACACCAGCATCACCACAAATGTGAGTCATGTATTGCATTTAAACAACCATTAGAATGGCTATGAAGTCACTAGGTGATAGGAATTTTTTAGCTCTAATATAATCTTATGGGACAACCGTAATTTCTGTAGTTCACTGACTTAACCATTATTATGCAATGTGTGACTGGATATGAAATATAGTAAGAATCAACTTGTGATCTAATGTCTTGAGTTTGATAAAGAGCCAAGAGAGTTAGCTATTTTTGGTCCCAGTAATCTAAAGTAATAATACAAATTTGTTTAACTGTGCTCTGAATCATAGCATAACCAAAATTATGTGCATATGTTGCATGTCTGAATTATAAGCTAAAGCTATTTTGTCATATTTTTATTCATTTATGCACAGAATCATATGCCTTTCTGAATTTAGATTTAGTTTTAAAACTATTCCCATGACTTCAGTCATTATTTCTGTGTATATTACTTCCAAATCAATACCTGCAGACCTGATCTGTCTACTCTTCTTGCCCCTTTATATTCCACTAAACCAGTGCCATCTCAAACTTAGTATACTTAAAAAAAAAATTATCTTTTGCTAGCCTACCTCCTCTTTCTCTTGTCTTCTCTGTTTTTATTTACTCAGTTACTCAACAAATGTTTATTAAGTCAAGCACTGCCAGAAATTAGGAGTGCAAGGGTAATATAAAGCATGGTCTCGCTGCCTTCTGAGGAGCTTACATTCTAGTGAGGAAAGGTAAACCAGAGAATACAATACAGTGGGATCAATGTTATAATAAACATATGTACCTTGTACTGTGAGAACACAGAGGTGAGGAAGTGAGTGAAGTCAAATATGGCCAGAGTATACTATAGAGAGTAACAGGGAAAGTGGCACATAAGGAGGCTGGAGAGTTTGGGAGAGGTCAGATCACATGGGACAGTCTGGATTGTACGTTAAGAGCTCCAGAAAGCCCTTGGAAGGTTTTAACTTGGGGTTCACATAACGAGATTTGTGTGTTAGAAAGATTACTCTGAATGTTGAGTGGGGACAGATGAGAAAGAACAATGGTGGATGAAGGAGAAAAAAACGACTTTCACTTTTTAGGAGGTTACTGCAGTAATTCAGGAGGAGGAGTACAGGGGCCTGGACTCCATAGTGAGCTATCTTAAACTCAGCAAATAAATAGGCCTTCAGTAACTTACTTGAAGATAAAGATCAGGCATCCCCAAACTTTTTACACAGGGGGCCAGTTCACGGTCCCTTAGACCGTTGGAGGGCTGCCACATACTGTGCTCCTCTCACTGACCACCAATGAAAGAGGTGCCCCTTCCTGAAGTGTGGCGGGGGGGTGGGGGGTGCCGGATAAATGGCCTCAGGGGGCCGCATGCGGCCTGCGGCCGTAGTTTGGGGACGCCTGATAAAGATGAAGGAATGCTATGAGGAAGATGCATGCTTACCTCATTGGTTGTTATGAAGCGTCTCGGCCTATTGAGTTCTTTTTACGTGTTAGTTGTTATTACGTCTTATACTCTGGCCCCACTCCCTGAACCAGGAAGGGCCAAGTTGCAGAATGATGAGTTTATTTCCTGTTCGCAGGGGCAGGATCCAGGTACTTATCAAGTGTCGT